GAGGTAAGTTTATTTCTCTTATGATAGTATTTATTTAATAGGAAAATGGCATTTCTTGTAATTGGGTAGTCATTACTCCTTTTTAAAATTTTTCAGAGAGAAAAGTAATCCTAATTATTATAAACCTAGACACACTAGGTTTATATATCTATAAAAACTGTTCAGGTTTGTACCTCACCAAAGATGCCCTTTCTGGATAAGCCGCCTCTAAGTAATGCCACTCATTTGCAATGTGTTGTTGACTGGGCGCTTTTGGTGGCTGTGGCCAAGTCAGAATTCCTGGCCTGAGCACAGTGTGAGCGGATGTTAATGAGTGGGACGGTGAGGACAAAGAGGAACAGCACAAGATTTTTCCGTGTCCTTTTCTGTGTGACTTGAGGACAACCTTTGCATGTTCCTAAAAAGTGATCCTGTAAAAATGACAATGCCTTTATTCATATAGGAAGTTAAAATACCAGACAAGTGGTATATGTGTACATGTTTCAGACTGTATGGGTATATTCTGCTCAGCACTGCTCATGGAAACCTCAGTGTTGACAATTTATATTTTTTAGTACACTGCTAGTTACAGGCATAAAACTTAAAATTAGGTGTAAAATCACTTCACACCTCTAGGCTAATCCTTGGACTTATGGATCTTATGCAACTATATTTATAAAAGAAAAATCAAACTTCACGAAAACAATCAAATGTAAAGTAACTAAAATTTAGTGAACAAAAAAAGTTGGTTTGCTGAAATCCAATCACTACTTATTAAAAGAATAAGACACTGACTGCAGAAGCCTGGGTCCTTTGAGCTGGTCCGGCCTCGCCCACTGTGGGCTGGGTAATGGCTGCGTCTTCCACCCCTTGTCGCCACTCCAAGTACTTGCAACTTTATTCACGCTGTTCTCTCAATATGGCTTCACCTGGCTCTCTCTTGAGCACAATCGATGATGTGTTGCTTCTCATCAGCCCAGATCATTTAAGTTCTGCAACTTGGTGCCAGTGTGATTTTAAGTATGATGTGTCTATCAGAAGTCAGCCGACATTTTCTGCAAAGGTAGAATTCGTAAATATTTTATGCTTTGGGGACCATATGTACCATCTCTGTTGCAACTACTCAGCTGTTATTTCAGCATAAAAGGAGCCACAGACAACAAGAAACAAACGGGAATGGCTTTTTTCCACCAAAAAACCCCTTTATTTACAAAACAGGCAGTGAACTGAATTGTGGTTTTCCAAATTTATTTGAAAATTTTTTTTGAGATTTTATTTATCTTTAGAGGGGAAGGGAAGGAGAGAGAGAGAGAAACATCAATGTATGGTTGCCTTTCATGTGTCCCCTGCTGGGAACTGGCCTGCAGAGAACCAGCATGCAACCCAGGCATGTGTCCTGACTGGGAATCGAACCGCGATTGTCTGGTTCGCAGGCCCGCGCTCAATCCACTGAGCCACACCAGCCAGGGCTATTTGGAATTTTTAATCCAATTATTAAATGGTTGAATCAACACTGATGTCAGTAATGAAAACTGTTGCTGTAAGTTCAACATTTGAATAATTTGAGTAAATAGAAATGAATGGATATTTTCTGTCAATATTAATATTAGATATGACAGCCAAGTGAAATGAAAATTACTTTCCCTTCTCATTTTTTAAGCCAAATCTCTCAGTATGGTCAATGGGAAGAATAAAGCCCCTTAAAGACCACATGAACAATTTATTCTATAGTAAAACCCACAGAAGTTGAGACTGCACATTTCACCTGAGATTCATATTTGCTATTTTTTAGGCTAAATGTAACTAATAGATATTTACTAAACAGCTACTTTATGCTAAGCACTTTGGAGGACACAAAACAAGTAGAAAACATGGTCTCCAACTCCAAGCAATATATAAGGTGGAGAAACAATCTATATATGATTAGTTAAGATGTTAGATCATCAAATGCAAAAATATGTGCTAAGGCTCAGGGGCTACAGAATCTGAAGAGAGGAAAGTCACAACTTGGAGGGCTATGAAGAGGAGGTAGGGCAGAAAAGAGGAAGGAGCAGTGCAAGCAAGTGCTTGGGGATGAGAACCACTTGTGGGCTTGAGATGGGAGACATGGGTAGGTGGAGTGGGGAGGATGAATCACTTGACCTAAGTGGGCGTTGGTGAACAAGATGTTGGGGACATCTTCCACTTGCTTTTCTTGCAGAGATGGAGCAGGATGGCCCAGACCTTAAGTCCAGCTAGGAGTTAAGGAAGTGGGGGCCTCAGAATGGGAATGCTGAGTTTAATGGAGAATGGAGTGACACAGTGCAGGTCGAGATAGAGGGGCTGGATACAAGGAGAGGCAAGGCTGAGAGTCCCAAGTGTTTCTGGGGAAGTTTCTAAGATCTAGAGAGGCTTGTTCCCATTCATTTCTGAATTTTGCACTGTTATTTAGGCACTGAGTGTGCAATATGGACAATCAAGGTACTTGCTTAGGTTGCCAGATAAAATATATGTAGATTGCCCAGTTAAATTTAATTTCTGGTAAACAATGAATACTTGTTTTGTATAAGTATTCCAAATATTGGATGGCATACTTATACTAAAATTATATTTATTGTTTATCTAAAATACGAATTTAACTGGATATTCTACGTTTTCATTAGCTCCATCTGGCAACACTAATCTCCTCTCTCATAAACAGATATTGATCACATAAGTTAAGTATGTGATTGTAAGTTATAAGAGGCATGAAGGAAAAAAGGCCAATATTGTAAACAAAGAAGACCAAATTTAGATCTGTAGGGTCAGGGAACGCCTCTCTAATTCAGGCGAAGGAATGAGAGCACCACAGGTGGCAGAAACAAAGTGGAGGTCAGGGCTAAAGAAGGGAGTGAGAGAAAAGGAGTATGCCTGGAATTCAGCACCCTGGGCATGTGCACAGTGAGGTGGGGCAGACAGGCAAGGGCACCACTGTGCAGGGCTTTGTCATCCAGGGAAGCATTTGGCCCTTTTTTTCTATCTTAAATGCAATGGGAAGCCCTGTTAGGGTTTTAAGCAGAGAAATGAGACAATATAACTTTCATTTTAAATGTTAATCTGGTTATGGAATGGAGAATGATTCGGAAGAGGCTAAGATGAGAAAAGGGGAGACAGATCCAAGACAATGGATGAGGGAGGCTTGGATCAGGGCGGTGGCCAGGGCAGATGAACAAAAACTGAGAAGCTGTATATTTTGAAGGTAGAAACTTTGGACTTGAATATAGATTGGATGTGGAGTTCAGGACAGAGAGGAGGTGAAGGACAACTTTTGTGTTTCTGCTTTTGACACTTGGATGGAGGGTGGTATGGTTTGCTGAGGTGGGGGACACTGAGGAGGGACAGTGTTTTAGGGGGAGGTGAAAAAGGAAGTAAGCAATAGCAAGAGTTCACTTCTGAACATTTGCAGTTTATGAGATGGCATCCTACAGACGAGCAGGAGGCAACTGGAGCTCAGAGATGGGTGGTCTGGATGGGAAACATATAATTTGGGGAGTCGTTGACATGTACATAGAGACAAGACAGATTGAAAATGGTTCAGCACATGATTTTCCTACATGGTAACCTTCCAGAAATATATTAATAGGATTGACTTGTACATGTTTATTCTATAAAGACTCGCTCAACTGTTACAAAAACATACATGCATAAAAGAGTGATAACTCTGATTTCTTAGTGTTTTGTTTTTATTAAGCTTATTTTCTTCAGTTTATTTTGTATGTTCTTTTTTGTAAAAAGACAATTATTGGCAACACAGGAAATCATGAATAAAATCATATAAGATAAGCATTATTAATATTTTGTTATTCCTCTTTTTGTCCCTATTTCCATTCCCTATACAAATAGCTCTCCAGAAACATTCAGATTATTTGAACTACTATTGTTCCCTTGAATTCTAAAGAGGCTTCCATTCACCTATATTTTAGGGGAACTGTTTTTTTGTAAAAAAAAATATGATATATATAGGTAAAAATATAAAATTTAGCACTGCAACTATTTTATGTTCCCACAAATTACTATTTTTAAAACTTTTTCAATCTTAAATAGAAACTCTAACTATTAAGCAATAACTCCCCATTTTTAATTCCTTCCAGTCCCTCCCTGGTAACGCCTATTTTCTATCTCTACAAATTTTCTAGATGCTTCATATAAGTGGAATCTCATAATATTTATTTCACTTACCATAATGCCTTCAAGGTTCATCCTTGCTGTAGCATGTAGCAGAACTTCCTTCTCTTTAAAAAAATATTTTACTTATTTATTTTTAGAGAGACAGGAAGGAAAGGAGAAAGAATGGGAGAAACATCAATGTGTGGTTGCTTCTCATGTGTTCCCTACTGGGGACCTGCCCTGCAACCCAGGCATGTGCCCTGACTGGGAATTGAACTGGTGACCCTTTGCTTCACAGGCCCACACTCAATCCATTGAGCTACACCAGCCAAAGCAGAACTTCCTTTTTCTAACTTAATTCTTTTGTTTTTCCATTCATCTGTTGATATAACTTGAGTTGTTACTACCTTTTGCTTATTGAAAATAATGCTGTAATGAACACTGGCATTCAAATATATCTTTGAGTCATCATTTTAATTTTTTTTGGGGGGGGAGTAAGTATATCTAAAAGAGGAATTCCTGGGTCATATGGTAATTTCATGTTTAAATTTTTGAGAAAATGCCGCAGTTTTTCACAGTGACTGCACCACTTTACATTCCCACCAGCTTTGTACAACGGTGTCCACTTTCTCTAACATTCTTGCCAACACTTGTTAGTTTACTTTTTAAAAATTGTACTCATCCTAGTAAGTGTGAAGTAGTATTTCATTGTAGTTTTGATTTACACTTCCCTAATGACTAATGACACTGAAATCTTTCCATGCGAGTCCGTGGACATAAACTAAGGGGGTGGGAATGTGGGTGGAGGGGTGTGCAGGGCAGAGGGGAATAAAGAGAGGGAAATGGGACAACTGTAACAGTATAATCAATAAAAATATTTTTATTTTATTTTTTTCCTGCGTCTGTCACACACATGCCCACTTTCTACTTTGCTGAGAAAGGTGTTTAACTGCGTAACAACAGTTCCTTTCCCACAGAGGAGTGCCATAACTGCCACCATCAGGGCAGCTGCAGACCAGGAGCTGTGGAAATTAAAATATTTTTAAAACAGAAATCTTTCCATGTGTGAATTGGCCATTTGTATATCTTCTTTGGGGAGATATTGGCTCAAGTTTGTGCTCATTTTTTGAGTTGTCTTTTGTTGTTAAGTTTTAAGAGTTTATATATATATATTCTGAATATTAAGACCTTACCAATATGACTTACAAATATTTTTTCTCATTTTGTAAGTTGCTATTTTTACTTTCCTGATAACATTCTGTGACGAACGGAAGTCTTTAATTTTGATGAAGTTCAATTTGTTATTTTCCTTTTGTTGCTCATGTTTTTGGTGTCATATCTAAGAATCCATGACCAACTCCAAAATCATAAAGATTTACCACTATGCGTTCTTCTAAAAGTTTTATGGTATTAGCTCTTATCAGTCCATTTTGAGTTAATTTTTTAAATGATATGCAGTAGGAACCCAACTGTATTCCTTCGCATGTGGAAATCTGGCTGTCCCAGCACCTTCCTGGCATTTCCACTTTTAATTAGGTCAAATGTTTGGCAGAACTTTACAACTTTCCAAAATTACTCCTGATATTGAAAATATTGAATACTTACTTTCTAAAAGTATTGATTAATCAACTTTTCCAGATTGAATTCCTGTGCAGTTAATTGCTACCTCTTAATTGAAAGGAGAAAAATCCAACTTGCTTCATTAGAATTGGTAAGTAGAAACTCTTTGAAAATTGGGAGTAAACCTTAGTGATTTAATAAAAGGAATAAATTAAAGATTCTTATTAAAATAAGGTGACAACCCAAATTATTAACATATAAAACAATATAGCCCTGGTTGGTGTAGGTCAGTGGGTTGAGTACCAGTCTACAAACCTCCAGGTCACCAGTTTGATTCATGGTCAGGGCACAGGCCTGGGTGGCAGGCCAGGTCCCTAGTCGGTAGTGTGCGAGAAACAAGTAGTCAAAGTTTCTCTTACATGTGGATGTTTTTCTCCTTCTCTTTCTCCCTCTCTTCCTGTCCCTAAAAATAAGTTTAAAAATCTTTAAAATATATATATATACATATATATAAATTTTAAGCTAATAACTTCACTGCTTTCAAATTCTTAAAGGGTTACTAAATAGATTCCTATTTTCCACCTTCACAGGAACAGAGCTAGAGAAAAAATATATATTTAACTTGGATTTAGAAAGGCTTTACAGACTTCACTTTGAAATCAAGAAGGTTTTCATGACAAGTAATAATAATAATAATAATAATACTTATTGAGCACCTACCATGTGTCAAGACTCTTGTTTTGAGCTCCATGAGATAGGCACTATTATCACAGATAAACTTAGACTTGAACCCAAGTTCAATGCTGTGCTGAGGCTCAACCACTATGCTAAACCAGCTGTTAAAAGTGAACTAACATTAGAACACTCCCACCCCGAGGAAGACCACTGCCTCTCCATCAGCAGAGAATTTCAAAATAGGTGGAACATTTATCAGTCAAATGAAATTCGTAATCCTGACACAGTGGATGATATCAGTCTTTGGATTCTGTTTAAATACCTCCCCCTTTTAAAACCACTTTTCTTTTAGCAGAACAGTCTGTATCTACTTTACCTTCCTCCCTCTCTAAAATGCCCAGCAGAGCACTTCAAAATGTTCTGTAACATCACATGAATACCTGCCTGTGTAACATGAACAGATGTCCAATGACACACATTGTAGGGAAACATAACACCTTTTATTCTTTCATAATCTTTGGGGCTTCATTTTAGTAATTCATGGAGACATTAACCTTTCAGGTGGATTTGAGAATTCTTTTTATTTAATACAATTTTGTTTGTGTTCTGAAACCAAGGACATTGGAGTATTTATTTCCTACTGAATAGAGAGCATTGTGTACATGTATCTTTGTTTTCTCTAAAAATAGCTCTTAACCTTCATCCATCTCCTCAGGGCTTGCCACACACTGTTCCCTCAGGAAGAAACAATGTGATGTGCTCCAACAGGTGTCCTGCTAGAACAGTATCCCAATTTTCCTAACCCCTTAGTTCCCCCCACAGCCATTTCCATGATACTCTTTTCACTGAGCCTATGAAGTAAAAGGCAATTATTTCTGTAATAGGAAATGAGACCTGAAATGGCAAGGTTTTCACCTGAGACATCACAAAGTATATTAATGGCAGACCTGAAGCTCCAACCACATCTTCTGCTTAAGCAGTTTTCAACTGGAGAGATTTGGTCTTATTTCTCCAGGGTACATTTAGAAATGTCTGGAAACACTGTTGGTTGTCACAAACGGGGGTGGGAGGTGATGATACAAGTATGTGGCTGGTAGTGGCCAGGGATGCTGCTCAACACCCTACAGTGCACAGGACAGCAGCAAGAATTACCCAGCCCAAAATGGCAATAGTGCCACCGTTGAGAAACTGTTTTAAAAGAGTGAAACTACTTTGTTAGGTGTGTGATTGGCTGGCTGCTGTGCTGTACACCTGTGCAATAGTGTTGAAGATGGACTGTGGTTTAAAAAAAACTGCACCACCGTTTGTCACTTCTACCTAGACTTCTTTTCTTCCTTCCCTGGGGTCAGACTTGCATCACAGTCTGATAGTTTCCCGAGCTTCTCCTGGCTTCCTTCCTGTTTCCTTTCACAGGCATTTTCCCTAATAAATTTCTTGGACCTTTAAGCAAAAATAAAATAATGGAAATTGGATTGGCACCCTGCTCAAAAGCACTAAACAGAGAGTGGAAATCACACACTTGGCCCAACTGACAAAATCTAGGGCCCAGCCCACAAAGTTCAATTATAAACAAGACAGAAGCAGAGTGTGCCAGAAAGATGATGTCACTGAAATGAAACAGAAGGCTCCCCAGGTTTTTATCAGCTTTTTCAGGGAAAGAAAGCAAGAGATGGAGAGAAGCAGCAGAGAATTAAGCAGAATCGAGAATGTGTAAGGAGGATAAGGGAAGAGATGATGAGATTAAAAATAGAAGTCTCATCAGCTGTACCGCATAGGGGAGGTCTGTATAGATGATAAAGATTTCAGCAGTAACTTCAAGATAAATTTGAGAGATTAGGAGGAATCAGAAGAACTTGGTGAGCAATTACAAAAGGGTCATGAGAGGAGTAAATATGAGATTTCTGAGCTGGGAGCTTGGGTACTGGTGATGACACTTAACTAGACAAGGAATATGGACAGATCAAGAAGGGGATGTAAAGCTGGAATGATCATTTTGATGCAAGAAGAGACTGACCTCTCCCTCCAAACTCGATAAAAAAGGTAATGGGTATCGATGTAAGTAGGTCTGGAGGGATGAAGGAGCGCAGCTTGAGAAAGTTGATATTGTAGAACTTCACTTTTCACTATCAAATTGTAAGCAAGTTTGGCTGCTAATATGGGACACTAGCATGGAAGGAGGTAGGGAATAACCTTGAAGGATGGGGGAGGGACATTGACAACTTAAAGTGAGTAGAGACTCTGACTTCAGGAGGCTGGCATGTGAGAGATACCTCCAGGTACCACGGTAACCGTGAGATTTATATCCAATGCTTTCTAGATCAGCAATAGAACCCATTCACTCTTTCAGGGAAGCAATAAACTAAAAGGCTTTGTTTGAAAGTGGGTTAGTGTGTGGGAGATGAGCAACCAAATTCCCAATTAAACTGGGCATGGGATCAATTACATCTGTGGACAGTTGTAGCATCTCCTCGTATGCAAGTGAGCACGTCCTATGGCAGGGGTGTCAAACTCATTTTCACTGGGGACTGCAGTAGCCTCACGGTTGCCTTCAAAGGGCTGAATGTGATTTTAGGAATTACTCTCGAACCGTATAAACATAACTACTCCTTAACTAGGGGAAACGATCTCCGCGCTGCCACCAGGTAGAAACAAGGTGCTGGGCCAGATGAAACAAGGTGAAGAGCTGGGTTCGGCCCACAGGCTTTGTGTTTGCCACCTGTGTCCTATGGGATTCTTAGAGAGCCGTCCACATCCAGGGTGGTAATCATGCAGAAATCTTCACATAGCTCCCATAACCCTATAATCAAGTAAGACAGTAGACATCAGGGTCAATGGAATAGAAATAGTGGAATCATGATGAAATTGTTTCCTTTTGCAGAATCTTGCCTTCTTTTGAGCCTAAGCCATGGGTTGGATGTTCCTCAGAGACCTCCTAAGTGGAGTGAATGAACACTCAACTGGGATTGGGCGGATTTGGCTGGCTGTTGTGTTCATCTTCCGCTTGCTGGTTTACATGGTAGCAGCAAAGCATGTGTGGAAAGATGAGCAGGAGGAGTTCGAATGCAACATTAGACAGCCTGGTTGTGAAAATGTGTGTTTTGACTACTTCTTCCCCATCTCCCAGGTCAGACTTTGGGCCTTACAACTGATCATGGTCTCCATGCCTTCACTGCTGGTTGTTCTACATGTAGCCTATCATGAGGGTGGGGAGAAAGGGTACAGAAAGAAACTATATGTTAGCCTAGGTACAATGGATGGGGGCCTGTGGTACACCTACCTAATCAGCCTCATTGTTAAAATCAGTTTTGAAATTGGCTTCCTGGTTTTATTTTACAAGCTGTATGATGGCTTTAGTGTTCCTTACTTTATGACGTGTGATTTGAAGCCCTGTCCGAACACTGTGAACTGCTTCACGTCCAAACCCACTGAGAAAACCATCTTCATCCTCTTCATGGTGATTACCTCATGCCTGTGCACTGTGTTGAATTTCACTGAAGTGAGCTTTTTGGTTCTCAAGTGCCTTCTGAAGTGTTCTCTCCAAAAGTACTCTAAAACTCAAGTCCTCAGTGTGTGAGGGCACCCACCTTAGACTGGTTGAGCGTGGTGAGACAGGGGCCCCTCTGCCACTCCAGAACCACCATTCAGCCTCCACCATCAGCCCAGCCAAGTGAAACACGGCTTCCTTGTAACACACAAGAAGGTTAAACAAAGAAAACCTGCACCTGCCTAAGCAAGATCTACTAGGCTGGGTTGGAAGACAGAAGGTGTCAGCTTTAGTGTAATTTGGGAGGAATT